AAGACTTGTGGTTGATTAAAGGCCTTAGTACATTCATTTATAGGAATTCTATAAATAATGTGATACACAACAATGATATCCGCGGATTTCTAGAAATAAAAGCCATTAACAATGTGCTGAATATGGTAAAGTATTAATTTTTCTTGGATAAAATTACAGAAAGAAATGTATTGAATATGATTGATAATATTATTTTCTATTTCATACGTGTGCTTTCCACTGCATATCCATTTCTACTACATATTTACTACATTATTTTTTAAAACTGAATTATACTATTAGAGTTACATTTACATAATTTTACACTATTTTCTGAAACTGAATTACTATTACAGCAAAACGAACACAGCACCGACTCTTTAGTACATAAAGATTTGACGAAATTGCCCATGAATATTATCAAATACGTGTCGGAACAAGGGTGTGTGTTTTTGGACTACTTACAAGAGGTCTTAGGTGGCCCCACAGAATTCTGGAGTTTTCTTGTAAAGTGTTTTTTCAACCGTCGTGATTTCAGCGGTTCAGAATACCTAACAACTAATGATTTTAAGGATTCCCTGTATGATCATTTTAAAGAGAAACACGGGGTAACAAAATTTTTATGGAAATAAACATATAGTTCTTTATTTTTGTGTATTAAACAGCGAATAACAACTTAAACTTTTATCTTGTGGCTAGGTGTTAGATTCTGTAAAGTGGGATGAATGGTTTAATCAACCAGGTATCCCACCTTCTTATCGCGGTTTCATGGCTATAGAGAAAACTGATTGGCATCGTAAAGCGGACAGCTTGGTCGACGAAAAAGAATACGAGAAGAGTCGTGATCTGATTCTAGAAGTAACACGTAATACTGATGATCGCGCTATAATAGAATTTTTAACCTATTTACTTACATTGCCTACGGATCTTTCGCCAGCCAAATTACTATTGATAGAAAGACCTATTCTGGAAATGCGGCCTTATTGTGAAATCAAGTAAATATACTTTTCTATATTCAGATTGTTTTGTAGTTGAGTAACATATCGCGCATGTATCTCGCAGGTTTCTCTGGCTGCGATTGTGTATCAAAAATAAATGGTCAGATGACGGACGAATAACAAAGACCGCTTTAAATTTTGTCTGCAACGAATATTGTTTGCCGAAATATGCCTGCCCAATATTCCGCGATTTGTACGAATGGGAAGAAACTCGTCAGTCGGCCATCACACGATTTAGGGCAATAATTACTGCAACTGATGATAATCGTTCTAAAATGCTTCCTGAAACCATAAACGAATTATCATCCATTCTTGGGGTTGCATTGGAACCTAGAGCATGATTATACAACAAATGTCCTATATATATATATATATTAACTGACGGAAGATGATATGTCGAAAATGAAGTTAAAATAAGTTTATCCTGATTGATACAAAATGACATACAGGTATACAGTAAATTTACGGCCGATATTGCTTACTATTAACTTCACTCCTCTCGTTTCGTGGCATACATGTTGTTCACGGAGCCATAAAAGGTTCTAGCTATAAGCTAAGAGAAGGTAATAACTTATAAATCATATGCCTGTGTGAAACTTTGGCGAGTTTGCGCTGGTGTATTCACTGGTCATAATTGTTATTATATGTGCATATAAAATCCATGTAATAATATAATATAATATAATATATTATACATATATTATACATATTTATATAATTAAAATATATGTAATGTATGTATAATTATATAACATGTAATATATATCCTATTACACACCACACACATACACACTCAGGCGCGCGCGAGGGCGCACTATTTATAGCTACACTAAGAAAAAAAATTTATTGAAAAACGCAAAATGTATTTCATTAAACTAAAATATTTAGTCTGATACGCATTCAACTAAACATTGGTTAAAGTAACTAATTCTTAGTTTAAAAATGTTGATAGGTGACATGAATAAACTATAGAATAACTATACCTCTCTTAGTATAACTTAATAATTGTTGAATCAACCATTGGATCAACAATTATACAAATTTAGTCCGCGCGTACAGTCCATTTTTTTTTCTCAATATAATACCATCCCTGAGCTCAAGCATCTTATGTTTCCGCAAACAGCCTAGATGCTACGAAACCCTAGGAGGGAGGATGTAGTAGGTATAAGATCGGCTGAAATGTGCAAACCAGCTGTAGGCCTGTTCTATGATGCAACAATTTATATTATATTCTGTCCTATATACATTCAATTTATATTTTAATAACTACTGTTCGAAATTTATAACAAACAAATATTCAAGAGAAAATTAAAGAAATAAATGTATTAGAAGAATTTTTTGTGTAATTTTTTTGTAAATGATATATTAATGTCATCAGTACCTATCTTCTAAACAGAACTGAATAATTGTTTATATGTAATTCTGTTCCTTCGCAGCTATTTTGCATAGAGATATTAAAATAAAGCTTAATAATGTGACAGTAATAGTACCTTTACCTATAATATTAGCTAAATAGCGCGTATTGCGCGTCTGTATGTCTAGTTAAGACAAAAATCAATTTACGAAATATTTCGATAAATACTGAACATTTTAAAATATATTTATTTTAATAAATAAATGTATTGTGTAAAATTTCAGTTTTGTATTTTGACAAATTATTGAATTGTTTATTATTATTTCAGTTATTTCTTTATTGCGATGTGTTAGAAGATTTATATAGTTTTGTTTAAAAAACATCTATTGAAAGACGCATAGTTTACCGAATTTATTTCCGTTTTCAAATTTATCATCTCGAACAATACAACTTTTTAAATATATTTCTTAAA